CACATACACACACCTACCTACATACATATGTTTATATATTTACTTTTTTGTAATGGAAAAATAATCAACAAAACTAGATATTAAAGTAAAATTCTTTAAGTGGTGAAAATTTTTAAAATGGGTGAAAGTAGTCAAAAGGTACAAACTTCAAGCTATAAAATAAGTCATGGGAATGTAATGTACAGCATGGTGACTAGTTAGTAATACTGTGTTGTATATTTGAAAGTTGCTTAGAGAGTAGATATTAAAAGCTCTTGTCACAAGAAAAATTTTCTTTTGTAACTATACAAGGTGACAGATGTTAACTAGAATTATTTTGGCAATCATTTTGCAATATACACAAATATCAAATCATCATGCTGTACACCTGAAAGTAATAAAATGTTACATGTCAATTATACATCAATTTAAAACTAATTCTAAAAACAAAGAGAAAAATGTGGGAACTATAGAGTCAAGCAGCCTGCGTGTCACCTCTTTACTGATCTTTAGTCATTCTGTGACCTCTAGCAATTCACTTACCCACTCTGCACGTCAAGTTTCTTACTTTTAAATTGAGGTAACAATAGAAAATACTTCATCCGTTTGCAGTGAGGATTGGTAAAGTCAATGGGTCAAATGCTGAGATCAGTACCCAGTATATACTAATATAAATTATTTTTTAAATGGACCAAGAAAACAAAAGGGAGATTGCTAATGAGTGTACTTTATACATGTGAGGAAGAGATCAATCTGTAAGTAAAAGGATCCAAAGTCTTAAAAAGAATCCTTCCCATACTCAGTATGCATACAGCTGAGTACAAAATGTGAAATGATGAATAGAATAGAGAACTATTGTTAATAAACATACTTTTTATAGTTTCTCAAGCTCAGGCCCATGATTGGGATTCAGGGATCTTTGACTCAGTATAAGCAAATGCAAAACAAACAAATAAAAAATCCATGGCATGTAGTATCATATAAAACTGTTCTGAAAAAAGTCAGTGACCAAAAAGCTTAAAATATTTGGAAATAATTTTGTATACATAAATAGCTGTGTTAAAGTATGATAGATGCTATAATAAAAATAATGTTGAGTTATGATATGGAGAAGGTGACCATCTTGATTCTGTGGGTCCTAAAAGGAGTCCACAATGGAAATCATGCTGACACTAAAATCTATAGGAATTCCTCCATACAATATGATTTACAAAAATACTCAAGTTGAGGAAATAAAATGAATTTCAACTGGTTTGCTACAGTTGAAACATAATGGACAGGGAGGGGCACTGGAGAAAGGAGTTTATAACCGGCTTATGACATGCTATAGACTGGTCACTGTCATTGTTCCTTCCAGATCTTTTTAGATCTCTTGTAACCTGAGAAGTGAAAGCAATCAGCCTGTGATCCATTCACTGGGGTGACACCACTGGTTAACCTAGTTTACTTGTCCAATTTGCCTTCCAGGTAAATAGGTTAAAGATATTTAAAAAGAGGAAAAAGACTTATCTATCTAATGTCCCTAGATAAAGGGCATTTATGGTTCATGAACCTATAATTTATAAGGTTTACTTTCCTAGTGAATGTCACATAAGCTACTACCTATCTGGAGCATAAGATGAGATGTTTTGTATTTTGAATGCGTCCCTCCCTACATGAGATAACTCCAGGAACCTCACTTAGACACCTCATCCATCACTTTGCCAGAGGTGCATGTCTTGTGGAGGGCCATGAAATCCCAGACTTCTCCCTACTCAATTGGAGGTCCTTGATGTTCTGTATCCTTAAAATTATTCGGAAATCCTGAACAGGGTAAGATCTTTGATTAGTACATTCTGATTTGATAATCTGATCTTTTGTGTTACTCACACTGATTCTAAACATCCACCCCACAAGCAAACACCCTTTCAGGTGGGACAAAGGCTGAAGTGTACTTTCTGCTCCATCAGGCTGTAATGAGGTGTTTTGATTGAAATTCCAACTTCATTTGACTTCCCTTTCCCTGTTCTGCTTCCTCCACTCCCTCATCAATTTCTCTTAGTAACACATCCTTAATAAATTACTTGCATCTAAATCTTTGTCTCAGCATCTGTTTTTTCAAAAACCTGATCTTCTATAGGCTGTATATACTGAGATTTTTGGAACTTACCATGACTTTAATGCACACAAAAAATGGAAACCACTTAAAATTTTGGAATAGAAAAATGATTCTAAAAAATATGAGAAAAAGTTGTCAGAAGTCAATGGTGATATTTGTCATTAAAGAAGAAAGTACTGCTTTTGGTTTTGGTACTTAATTCTGTCTTTTGTTTTTTATCAGCTTTTCACTGTACTCATTGCAATGATCCTGAAGCTCAATGAAATAAATATTGAATTTGAAGGACAATTCAGTTTCTATAAGGAGCAGCACTTTAAATCTGTTGAAATCAAACAAAGTATGTTATCATCAGTAAACATTTTTCTGGGTAGCATTCTTTCAATGCCAATAAATAAATGTAATTTTAAATCGTGTGAAGCACAAATTGAAAAAGCAATTTTTTGAAGAATATAGAACCAATAAAGTGCAAAAAAACAGGTTGTTGCAACTTTAGTTCATTGCTCCAAATCCCTGAGAGACCTCTCAGGCTTAATTGAGTCAGAGTGACTTCACAATGCAAGTTGACCCAGTATCTTGTTCATTATTCCTGATTAGGTGACAGAAGTAAATATGAAGAAGTAAAGAAATGGAGGGAGGACAAAAACAAAAAAAAAATCCTGAAATTAATTTTGATTTAAGAAATTTTAAAAGTCCAATATTTATAACCAATTAAATGAGAAAAAAATCATTTCAAAGTTATAAATACTGATGAACTTTCTCCTGTATATAGATACATAAGACCGTTTTAAGTCTTAGATTATAAATGCTTGACTAGAATCTTCTAGGGTAAAGAAAACGAGTTGTTATGTATTAATTGTTTAATGTCATAAATTAATGCAACTCATGTATATCTCTGGTAAGAACTGACAAAAGGAAATTCAGTTAAATTTTAACAATAGACTTCCAATAAGGAAGCATATAAAAACATATGCCCATCTGGAATAACAAAGGTGGAATTAAGGGGAAAAAAACACACTGGAATACAATGAGACTCACTATTTATGCAAAGGCAAAATACCTTGCTGAACAGTAAGGAATGTAAATTCATTCTGCCTGAGTTTAATTCTTAGTTCTGATATTTATTAGCAGTATGATTTTGGGTAGGCACTTAACTACATGTCATTTTTCTATTCTCTAAATTAGAGATAATGATACTACACACCTCACAGTGTTGTTAAAGATAATGTATAAAAAACATTTCAAATGTTGTAAGGATTATATGTAAAGCACTTAAAATGAGGTTGTTACAGAGTAAGTACCATATAAATGCTATGCTCTGTTATTATTATGATTATTAGTTAGTGTTTATGCCTGAATAATGGAGGAATAAAACAAGGTACAGAACAGTGCTTAGTAAATGTTAAATTTAAAAAATGTTTAAATAGCACACAAGCAAAATATGCTAATACTTACATTAGGAAACTAAAATCTTAGACTTTAATATTGACTTCTTATTAAGCAAATAAATGCACTTGTGAAAATCTGAAATTTCTTCCTTGGATTATTTCTCTGTTTATTCACTGGCATTTTTAAGTGCTTATGTAGGAATATTGCTTCAAAATATTTTTATGGGGTAATATGTCCACTTAAGCAAATGAATTCATTGACACAGATGAGAAATATAAAAATAACAGCATTTAATGTCAATTAATATATTAACTAATTTAATTATTGAACTTCTGTTATATTTCTGACTCTATAATGTTCAGAAGTAATATGGGAATAAATGTGACAAACTTCCTGCAGTGATACAAGCTCACCATCTATTAGAGGAGACAGACATTCTTAGTTCTTCCATATTCTGGTAGGTTACAGTAAGGTTTTGTCCAGGGAAACAAGGAAAGGAGGCCCCTCAGCTTGTCAGTGGAACCAAATATGACTTTTCAGAACTGAAAACTTAAAAAAAATTTGAATTAAGGTCTTCATATTAGTTATCTGTCTACTCAAAATTAGACTTTGTAACATTTAAGAGCATCATAACAACAGCCATCATGTATGTTTTAGATTTCCTCATTAAGGAGCACCAAGACAATTTTCAACCAAGTATAAGATATCTGACAGCAAATACACTACAGATATTGCTAAATGTTCACTTGTGAAGGTTGTCCAGCCTCCCTGAGTTTCCACATTTGTGAAATGGGGAGGGTTAAATAAACCTAACTTCTGGGATTTTAGAACAAGCTACAATGCCTGGAACATAGTAAGCATTCAATAGGTGGTGGCTAGTATTTGCATTGTTGTATTCTTATTACTGTTAGGAGCAGTTTAAATGAAGGTTAATGACAATAGCCATGAAAAAAGATAACTTTCTTCTTTATAATTATATTATCTTCTAGAATTAATGACAACCCAGCATAGATCAGTGTCCTTCCAGAATTGCTTCATCCTACAGAAATGACCAAGCAATACAGATTTTCTGGGGCTGGCCAGAAACCTCAAAAACAAAATAGTTTTACCTTTGGATGTGCTCATTATTTCCAATGTTGATGTTGGCTTCTGAGCAATTCCTTGGACAATCTTGGGAATGTTATTTTCAATCAACTCAAGTGAATAAATGAACATATATACAGTCTTTACTTAAAATTTCATGGAGCCAAGATTAAGAAGCATAAACACACAAACACACACATATGCATGTATGTGTATATCTTCAACTCACGATACCCAGAACTAAAGCATCCAATGCCATGTCAAAATTGTTGATCTGAATTCTCTTTATCTGTTTTACTCCAGCACTCAAAATTAGTTCTATCTTTGTGTGACTTCCTTAGCTGTAGGAAATATTATACAATCACCTTTGCATTTTTTGAAATGACATGATTTTTGGTAAATCTATGAAAATCTATAGAGCATAAATGTACCTTTTGTGAATTCACATATTTGAAACTAATTTTTTTTCTGTTAGGACATCACAGGGAGCATATACTTGGTAACTTGTGATTTAAAAATCTAGCATTATAAAAATTTTAAAATATTGTAGTTGTGTCCTTTTAATGAAATGGATATTAAATAAGAAGAATATCCATGATAGGAAAATGGTAAAGTGTCTGTCAGTGTTGATGTTGGCTTCTGAGCAATGTTGGCCTAAGCACACCTCTCTTAGCATGGAGAGGGTAGATTTACTGTACATGTGAAACTAACATTATAAATTGACTACACTTCAACAAACAATAAGAATGAAAGATTTCCTGAAAATTGAAAAAAAAAAAAGAGCAGTTAAAAAGTCATCTTGACTCAGAGACACTGGAAGTGTGAGCTGGTATGACAAACTAAGAAAAGCAAAATTTGGCAACAAAGACCAATTCTTAAGCTTAGAATTTTACTTTTTGGTTCAATCTATGCTTAATGTTCAGAAGTCTCTTGTCTCTATCTAGACCACTTAATTTAGCTTTCATTTTTGAGTGAAGCATAGTTTGATTTTGACAGATTTAATTGAGCACAACAATATTTCTTATCCTGGTATTTCAATGGTGGAGAGAGGTGTCCAGAGCCATGCTGAAAATTATCTAATGAGATTTTAGTATCAAAATAGTATACCCTTTTTGCACATCAGACAGGGCAATTTGAACTACTTTCTATTTTAGATTACAATTAGTCTAAACACCCAACTGTAGATTTTCAAAATATACATTATCAATGAAGAAAGTTGTATTTAGTGGCAATAAAAATTTGTGATATGTGGAGTGAAAAAAAGTCTTCAAATAGATTTTTTTCATCTATTTTCTTACTCTCCAGATTTATGAGGATTCCAGCCAAGGAAAATAAAAAAGACAAAAACAAAAACATCAATATAAATACACACATATACAATTTATTAAAAAATTAAATCATTCAAGCCCACTAGTAACAAAATGTAAATTAAACAAGGCACAATGTTTTTCTTATAAAGTTAAAAAAACCCACAAAAGATGAAGAGACTGGTTTATTTTATTACTCAATAAATATGTACTGAGCATATACTATGAAACACCATTTAAACTTTTACAGGTATATCTGTAACTATGACAAAATACTTGCTCTCATAGATTTTGTATTCTAGAAAGAGAACACAGAAAATAAGTACCTAAATAAACAACAAAAATACTTTCAGATATATATATATATATATATATATACATACACACACACACACACACACACCTATATATATATATGAGTTACATGAAGACAATTAAAAAGGTGATTTGACAGAGAATAACTGTTGGGGGGAGCTATTTTTGATTTGATATTTTATATATTAAGAGCAAAAGTAAGAAGACTAGTGATCAATGATTCTGGCTTAGGCAGATTGTTGCAATGGAGATGGAGAAAAGTGAATAGATTTGACTGAAGGTAGAGACAACAGGGGTTGCTGAAATATCAAATGTGAAGGAGGGAATAAGAGAAAGGAATCTTAGAGATGTTACATTTTTTGGCATAAGCCAATTGAATGGTATATACTGAATGTTACATGCTCAGATTAGGATGATTCAGAGAGAGCAAATATGGTAGGGAATCAAGACTTCAACTTTTAGATGTTTGGAGTGAATTGCTTAACACTTGACTGACAGAGGTCAAAAGAGAAATAAAGAATGTTAAAAATATTGGGTAATGGGGAAGGATACAGCTTAGTGGTAGAGTGCCTGCTTAGCATGCACAAGGTCCTGGTTTCAATCCCCAGTATCTCCAAATAAATAAATCTAATAACCTCCCTCTGCCAAAAAGAAAGAAAAACATAAAGCTAAAAAAATATTGAGTAATGTGTAAGAGCCATCTCAGAGTTGTGTGGGGTCATATGAAACAAGATAAGAAAGTATTTCAAAAAGGAAATAGTTATTAATTATATCAAATGCTGCTGGAGATCAAGAAAGATAAAAATAGAAAATTAATCTTGGTATTGAGCAACCTGTACATATTATTGACTTGAAAAGAAGTTTCTGTTTCATTGTAAAAGTAGAACCAAAGTCTGATAATTTTTCAGAAGAACAGAAAAGGCGGTGGGTTAAAGCATAACAAATATTCTATTATTCTTATTTTCAGAGAAAGGAGAGACACACAGAGATAGACAAAACGTATAAGTTAATAGCCAGAAGTATGTTTAAAATCAAGAAATAATTTCTCAATAAAATAAAAACACTAGAGAATGATGGTATTTAAAAGAAAATAATTGTATAATCAGAAACTGAATGTGGAAAAATGTTTAAAAAAGAGTCTTGGACAACTATTGTGGTAGGATTAATTTGTGTAAATTTTGCCAAACACAGCTTAGGTTTATTTTATTTTTTTAATTGAAGTAGTCAGTTACAATGTGTCAATTTCTGGTGTACAGCACAATGTCCCAGGCATGCATATATATACATACATTCATTTTCATATTATTTTTATTAAAGGTTATTACAAGATATTCAACATAGTTCCCTGTGCTATACAGAAGAAACTTGCTTTTTTAATCTTTTTTTATATATAGTGGCTAACATTTGCAAATCTCATACTTCTAAATTTATCCCTTCCCAACCCCTTTCCTCTGGTAGCCATGAGATTGTTTACTATGTCTACTAGTTTGTTTCTACTTTGTAGATGAGTTCATCGTGTTCCTTTTTTTTCCTTTTTTTAGATTCCACCTATGAGTGGTTCACTTAGAATGACGATCTCTAGGTCCATAGGTGCTGCTGCAAATGGCATTATTTGATTTTTAATGGCTGAGTAGTATTCCATTGTATAAATATACCACAACTTCTTTATCCAGTCATTGGTAGATAGATATTTAGGTTGTTTCTATGCCTTGGTTATTGTAAATAGTGCTGCTATGAATATTGGGGTGCAAGTATCTTTTTGAATTAGAGATACCTCCAGATAATATACCCAGGAGTGGGATTGCTGGCTCATGTGGTAAGTCTATTTTTAATTTTTTTGAGAAATCTCCATACAGTTTTCCCTGTGGCTGCACCAAACTACATTTCCAACAGCGGTGTAAGAGGGTTCCCTTTTCTCCATATCCCCTCCAGCATTTATCCTTCATGGACTTTTTAATGATGGCCATTGTGAATGGCATGAGGTGATAGATCATTGTAGTTTTGATTTACATTTTTCTGATAAATAGTGATAATGAGCATTTTTTTCATATGCATATTGGCCATTTGTATGTCATCATTGGAGAATCGCTTGTTTAGGTCTTCTGCCCATTTTTGGATTGGGTTGTTTATTTTTTTGTTGTTGTTAAGTTATATGAGCTGTTTATATATTCTGGAAATTAAGCTTTTGTCAGTCACATCATTTGCAAATATTTTCTCCCATTCTGTAGGCTGTCCTTTTGTTTTGCTTATGGTTTCCTTTGCTGTGCAAAAGCTTATAAATTTAATTAGGTCCCATTTGTTATTTTTTGCTTTTATTTCTATTGCTTGGGTTGATTGCCTTGGTAGACTATTACTGAGATTTATACTGGCTAGACTGCTGTAGGAGAACATTGTTAAGATTTATGTCAGAGAATGTTTTCCCTATATTTTCTTCTAGGTGGTTTTATATTTTTATATTTAAGTCCTTAAGCCATTTTGAATTTATTTTTGTGCATGGGCTAGAAGTGTTTTAACTCGTTGATTTTCATGCAGCTGTCCAGTTTTCCCAACATCATTTGCTGAAGAGACTGTCTTTACTATATTCTGTGTTCTTGCCTCCTTTGTAAAAAATTAATTGAACAAAAGTCTGTGGGTTATTTCTGGGCTCTGCATACTGCTCTATTGAGCCATATGTCTGTTTTTTGCATCAATACCATGCTGTTTTGATTACTATAATTCTGTAGTATTGTCTGGAGGCTGGGAGGGTTATTTCTCCAACTTTTTCTTCAGTGTTTCTTTGGCAATTCTGGGTCTTTTATGACTTCACATAAATTTTAGGATTATTTATTCTAGTTCTGTGAAAAATTTCATGGATAATTTGAAAGGGATCACCTTAAACCTGTAGATTGCCTTGGGCATTATGGCTATTTTAACAATATTGATTCTTCCAATCCAAGATATCTTTCCAATATCTTTCAATTTCTTTAAGTCATCTTTAATTTCCTTAATCAATGTTTTGTAGTTCTCCATGTATACGTCTTTCACTTCCTTGTCTGATTTATTCCTAACTATTTTATTGTTTTGATGGCAATTTTAAAAGAGATTGTTTCTACTTTCTTTTCCTGCCTATTCATTGTTAATGTAAATAAATGCAACTGATTTTTGTATGTTAACCTGTATCCTCCTACCTTGCTGAATTCTTTTATCAGCTCTAGTATTTTTTTGTGAAGAGCTTTTATTGTTTTCTATATATATTATCTTGTCATCTGAATATAGTGACAATTTTACATCTTCTTTTCCAATTAGGATCCCTTTTATGCCTTTTCTTGCCTGATTGCTGTGGCTAGAAATCTTAAGACTATGTTGAATAGAAGTGGTGGAGTGAACATCCTTTCCTTGTTACAGATTTTAGTAGGAAGACTTTCAGCTTTTCACCACCAAGTATTATGCTGGCTATGGGTTTGTCATAAATAGCTTTTATTATGTTGAGATATGTTCCTTCTATACCCACTTTGGTAAGAGTTTTTATCATAAATGAGTGTTGAATTTTATCAAATGCTTCTTTTGTTGATGAGGTCTATCACATTGATTGATTTGCATAGGTTGAAATATCCTTGTGGCCCTTAGATGAATCCAACTTGATCATGGTGTATGATCTTTTTTATGTGTTGTTGGATTCTGTTTGCTAATATTTTGTTGAGGACTTTTGCATCTATGTTCATCAGTGATATTTGTTTGTAACTTTCTTTTTTGGTAGTGTCTTTGTCTGGTTTTGGTATCAGGGTGTTGGTGGCTTCATAGAATGAGTTTGGGAGTATTCCCTCCTTTTCAATTTTTTTGAAGAGTTTGAAAAGGATTTGTATGAGT